AAGTCCCTTAAGAGAGCAAAAAAAAAACCTTGCGGCATCGACACGGGCACGGTGGTGGGATGGGCCGAAGGCCATGAGCGAGAGATAGAAAGATAGAGAACCAACAAAAGTCCATACGTGTAAATCTACATATATAAATATATATACATACATACATACATACATACATACATACATACATACATACATACATACATACATACATACATACATATGCGTGTGTGACGTAAACATATCCAACGTACAGGTACTAAATGGTGGTGCCACGGACGATGGTGGTGCACAAGAGTACATTGTCATCCTATGCTTTCGGCCGCCCTTCAGGCCATCCAGACAGTCAAATATGAGAAGTTGGTGTGGTCCCAATTTGCTGATACGGCTATGGTGAACCATGCAAACAGCATCGGGCTCAAATTCATTCGTTTTTCAGCTGATCGTGGATGTCTTCCCGAGGTGCGAGGAGATGACGATCATCGAGTACATCGATCAAGGATTGGCAGATGCGCAGGGACGTTTCTGGACACATCTACCAGGCGGTAGAACGGCACGCCAAACGTGTACAACATGTGCTTCGAGCCATTTGTCGAGTGCGTTGTATGCAGCAGGTGTATCAGACAAGGAGAGATTCCGAGGCGGTCGATGAAGTCGACGTTGAGGCGCTCTCAGGTAGACCTTTCAAGCTCTTCGTGGAGTGCCTCTCCGTGACAGACAAGAAGCTCCTCGGGATTTTCTCGGCTGGTGCAGTTTCGACGGAGACACGGCGGCAGACGGGACAGCCCTGCGCTCACTGCGGGGCTTCGTGGCCGAGTTTCAAACACTTTTTCTCGGATTGCACTGAGTATCTCACCCTACGTACCAATATTGCGAGGAGGCGGGGAATTCCCGCAAACTGTTGGACCTCAGTTCCAAGAGTTACGGCAAAGGCTGGCTGGACTACGTTGGACATGTCGCCGAATGCTCAAACGATCTGAGATGATGACTGCGGCTTGCGAGCTGGGAGTTGGTATTCTTCAGATGGAACCTTCAGCAAGTACCTTTTCGTGTGTAATCTGCTTATCTGGGGAAAACCCTCGCTACGGCTACTCCACTCACCATCATCAGCATGATGTAAACATACAGACAGGTAGTTGGATAGAGAGAGATATAAACCCCCCTCCCCCCCACCCACCCACCCAAAAAAACAAGTGCAAGCACAGATGCACCCAAACAAATATAAGCGCTTCACACACACGCACACACACACACACACCTAGATGTCTATATATGCACAGTTATGATAATGTGTGTGTGCATGTGTAAATGTGTATATCTATATGTTAAACATGTATAAATGTGTATGCATAAAGAGAGAGAGAGAGAGAGAGAGAGAGAGAGAGAGAGAGAGAGAGAGAGAGAGAGAGAGAGAGAGAGAGAGAGAGAGAGAGAGAGAGAGAGAGAAAACAAAAAGAGAGAGAGAGAGAGAGACTGAGATTAAGAGACCGAGAATAAGTCCCAAGAATTCCCGAATACCGTCCGCCGCCTCCCAAGGCCCTAGAGTATCATCTCAAAACAAGCGGTGTGTATGCACGACTCCCGGCCTCGCATTCTCCTCGCCTCCCGCACTCGCCACCGCCCTCTCGATCCTCTCGCGGCAGGCCGCGGCGTGCGCCTTCGGCGACCCGCTGGCGGCCTCTGCGGCCGCGCAGCCCGGGCAGCCGGCAGTGAATCCATACCTCCTCAGCCGGTCCGCCGTGATGTACAAGCGACGGCCCGTCTCCCCGGGCAGCGCGTCTGGCTGATCGTCTTCTTTGACCTTCACTGGAGACGGTGCCTCGGGCTTCGGCGCCGCGGCGGCAACCGGAGTCTGGGCGGGATCCAGCGCAGCGCCGCCCTTGTAGACGTCCTTCGACGTTGCCCAGGACACGGCGACCTTGTTGAGATTATCCTTCTGATTGTGTTTCTTGATGGCGTCTTTCGCCTCTTCCATGAACTCGTCGGCGCAAGAACATACTACTGCGCACTTGTCCCTCTTGCTACTTACTTCGAGCTCGTCCTCAAGATCCGCAATGTCGACCTGTTTCCAGAATATCTTCTCGAATGGGCACTCCTCCCTGCCGCCGGCGGCCCGCCGACACCCTCGCTGGAGGTGACGAGGCTCGTGGGATGAGCTCGGCTGCCCCCACTCCCCCCCTGGCCATCGCTCGGACGTCCATTCCCGTGTTTTTTTCGGTTTCGTGCGTGGTTTTTTCGCCAAATGATCAAGGATGCTCCTCGATGGTCCTCGCAGAAGAAAAAAAGCACACGTCCGAGCGATGCCAGTCCCCTGCTCCACACCTGGGAGCCCAGAGTCCCGATTATGAGAGGCGGGGGTGGGCGCAATGAGGGTGTGTGGGGGGGGGGAGGGGGAGGGCGGAGACTCGGGCTCCCCGACGCATCCTCTGGGCCCTCTGGCCCCCTTCCCGCCCACCGGACCCCCAGGAGGCCCTCCGAGGGGCTCGGGATGGCCCCGAGTGGACGGCCCCGCGGGCGGCCTCGGATGGCCAAAATCAGCCCCTGGGGCGCCCCGAAGGAGGCCGAAGTTCTGCTGAAACAACACGGGGAGAACACGCGATGCCCGCCGGCGCTTGGGATGACACGTGGTCCCCGCCAGCGCTCAGGAGAACGCAAGAGAATGCACCGTGACAGCGAACGTCGAGCTCTGGCCGGCTGGCGGCTGCTCAAGGTCTCGACTGATATGAGTAGGGGGCCACATGCGAACCCGACCCCTCCCCCTCAGAAATCGTGGGGGGTAGGGGTAGGGTTCGCATGTGGCCCCCTAATGAGCCCAGGATGGCCCCGAGAGGTCACCACGGGTTCCAAGGATGGCTCCGCGGAGGGCGTCCGAGGGCCGAAGGTCATGAGGTTCACATTGGAGTCTGTCTGCATTGGGGGGGAGTCCCCATTCTCATATTTCCCATATGTCCTGTTTTTCCGTCGTCCCCCCACTTCCCATATTGTCCCATATTTTCTCGGGAATCGACGGTTAATTGTGTCTGTGTGTTTCTTTCCCTCCTGACTGTCGGCTCAAGGTGTAACCAGGATGAGCTGCAGAGGGCTCGGAACAGGTCCCCGAGGCCTCGAGCAGAGCCCCAGGCTGTCCAATGATGCCCCCTGAGATGGCCTCGAACGGGCCCGAGTGGAAAGAGGTTCAAGGGCTGGCCCCCAAGGCAGCCACAAAAAAGGGTCCCAGACAGCGCCCACGCCCGCTCGCAAATGGCCCCAAGACCCCAGCCCCTCACATGGAACCAAGGCGCCCCCAAAACGACCGCAAGAATCCCAAAGGGATATCAACAAGGCCCCAACAGAGCCAACGAGGGTCCGGGTGAGACTCCGAGAGCCACCGCGAAGGCGCCAAGGCATGCCCCAATGTTCGGTCACACACGCGTCCCGGCCATACCCGAAAACACGCATGGGTTGAGAGATTCGCGTGCGCGTTGCCCCTGGAGATCCGCCGTGACTCCCGCTGTGCGTGCTTACTGTGTGCTGTCTTCCATCGGCGACAATGGTGCGGAATGATGGGGTTGGCAACTCGTGGCTCTTGCTCTCACGGCCACTCACCTGCATTGCTCATACTGCTGGCAGCTTGATCCTCCTCATCCTCCTTCTGCCACTCCTCTCACTCCTCTCACTCCTCCTTCTTATCTCCCCCCGTCCTCGTCAACCTCCACATCGTCCTGCTCTTCTGTGGAGCCCCCAAGGACGACCCGAGATCTCCCCCGAAACAGCAAGAACTACGACGCCGCCAAGGGGCCCTAAGGGAGAGCCCAGACAGCCACTCGCACCAGGAAGAGGAGCACGACGTCTCCCAGATCCTGCGCACTCTCGCTCGCCCTCCTGGAGCTCCTCCCCTTTGCCCCACCGTCCCTCCCTGCTCCCTCCTTGCCTCCCTGCTCCTCCTGGGCATCACATCGCTCTTGGTCGTCCCCCTGCGCTCGACTCTAACAGGGCAACCCGCGCAGCCCAGCTTCCTTTCGCCCGTCCTGATTTCGAGAGCCGGCGGTACAGCATGAGCCTGTCGAGTGAAGAAAGGAGCCTTTTTCTGACGGAAGGCATCTTCGAGGTCCTGTTGAAGGGCAGGGTACTCTGCGCATGTGCACTTGTTCTGCACGCGGGGCCTTATGCCAACCATACAAATCGACGCGAACCCCTCTGAGAACTTGGCAGCGATCAGCGCAAATTCGGTGTGACGGTAGTGCGAATACCACCCGAACTGTCGGACGTCCGCCGAGTGGTCAACCATCGTCGCATGTTCTGGCGAGCTTGGGCCACAATGGCTACCGAGAGCAACCAGAAGAATCATCACGATCTGTCTTGTCCATCCTCGCCGTGTTGTGACTCCTCACCCGTTGTGGTCCTTGCCTCGCCATGTGTGGACTGGACAAACGCCCCTACGCAATACAACATTGATAGCAGAGCATGACGTATGATAAATCGGATCCTGAACTGGCAACATGTGTGCGGAAGGCCTACAGACTAGCTGCAGCTTCACGAGCAGACGGGACAGTGGCCCCACGAGCAGCATGTTGCGTGGCTAGGCTGAGATGACAAGCCATGCGCTGTAGCCCCTCTTCCGTCCTTCGCCATCCCCCCCCCGCTCCATCATTATTCATCTTCCCACAGCCCTCCTCGATCAGAAAAGGCAATACGAACTAATGAGCAGGGAAACAAACAAATGAACAAACACTAAGCGCGCCCGCACTGCGTTGGCTATATCATCTCATCAATCACCCCATCACCACCACATCTCTCTGCCTGCTCTCTTCTTCTATCCGCCGAGCGGGGTTGTCAGGAGGACCTTGAGATCCAAATAGCAGTTGCAAATCTTAACCAATCGATTACTGAACAAGCACCCCGGGGCTTGTGAAATGGCGGCAGGTCAGGAGGAAGACGAGAAGGAGGAGAAGGAGCAGCGGGACAGAGAGAGAGAGAGAGAGAAAGAGGCCACGACGACAATAGCGGACACAGAAGCATACATAGAGGCCGAAAGAGGAATAGAGACAGGCACAGGGACCGAGACAGCGGGAGACACCGAGACCCGAGCAGAGACAGGGAAAGCAGAGCAGCAAAAGAGATGTTGAGCCGCTGCCGATAATTTCTGCCGATGTTGGTCACCAAGAAACAACGCAAGTCGAGAAGGCAGCCCTGCCATATTCTAGCAGCGATGGCTGACAAGCAGCGAAGGCATGAGAAGGAAGAGGGAGGGGAGGGCGAGCGCGGACAGGAGATCGAGGCAGGGGAGAGGGGAGAAGGGAGAGAAAAGGAGCGCACAGGAGAGGGCACGAGTTGAGGGAAGGAAGGGGAGTCAAACCGGCACTAAGCTTAGATCGGGCGTGTCCTCCTACAGGGGGATTTTGGAGGAAAAATAAAACAGTCGAACACATCAAAAAAATAGACAAAATAAATCAAAACATCGTCCCCTGAGTAGTTATTGTTTACTATGTTTGAATATTCCTCCTGTCGAGAGCACGCCCGACTTACCACTAAGCACGATAAGGGCAGCTGCACCCCCGTCGGAAGAAAGCAGCAATACGCCTGGAGGCAGAGCGCCCCGCGGCACCGGGAGCCGACAGACGGGGAAGCCGCAGCCGGCGAGGCCAGGGGGGCCTCGTCGCAGGTATCTGCACTGCACCGACCTTGCAGACGTGCTGCAGCGGATTTTTGCATGGATTCCTGTCAACACAAAAGCCCGAAACGGCGAACGAAAAACAACGAAGTGAATGTCATGCGGACTTTGTTAGTCTTCATTCATCCAATTGTTTTTCGAACGAAATCCTCTCTGCGATGTTGGCGCCATGACATCTGCAGCACCGCCCCTCAGGCGAAGTCAGGAGGAGGATGCGATCGAGTGAGGATGAGTCTGAGGAGACCAATGATCGTGCTAGGGAGAAGAGATTGGGAGGATGAATGGCATGAGCAATATCATTCGGATGCAATGAACGATACCCTCGGCCGCCTACGGGTAAGGACATCCTGATTTGTCCCATCCCGATCCTCCCAACCCGATAATTGTCTTCCTGAGAATCGAGATTCTCTGAGATCCAGCGGTTCCGGAAGATGCCTCGGGCGCCGCGGCCTTCCCAAAGCGGCCTAGCACGCTCTGAGAGCTTTCCGGAACGCTCTGGAACGGAGTTGTCCTCGTCCTGGCCCCGTCCGACCACCCCCCTTCGGATCGGCAACTGGAGGTCAGATCGGCGAGAGGATCGGATCGGAACGCATCGGCACTCCGCGCATCGGACCCTGAACCGGCAACGGGACATCCAGATAGGATCGGATCGGCATCGGGCCTGTGTCTGTGGATCCAGACAGCCCAGGGTACCCTGGCAGTGTGGCGGGTTGGCGCGGTGGCGACTCGCGCCGTGGACCGTTCGGGCTTGAACGGTGGCGGCTTGCTGACAGCCGAGCTCTTTCACCTTGGAGGAGGAGGAGGAGGAGGAGGGGGAGGAGGAGGAGGAGGAGGAGGAGGAGGAGGAGGAGGAGGAGGAGGAGGAGGAGGAGGATGGCTTAGTGCAAGCCGCCAGAGGCCTTCAGCCTTGGACGCCCGCGCATGCGTCGCCTCCGCGTCCTCACTAGACGGATCTGCCGCATACATGTGGCTTCCTGATGCGCAGCCCCACTGTACGAGCCGTGTCCGACGGTGGGTATGACCGATAGCGGCGCAAGTGGCATGCCGTAGAGCCCATGCCAGGAGCCAAATGCTCTAGAGCAGTGGATTTCCAAGGAGCGGTTTCGAGATGGCATGGATATGAGAGCGGAAATACATGCTCGACGTCGATAACGTCCAGAGGGGCGGATGCGTGCGGGCACGAAGGTTCCTGGCGCCTTCCGGGCGCTCGACTGGCCAAAATCGCAATCACCACATTTTCGGCAGAGCCCCGACCGCGACATCCCAAGCACGACATTTTCGCCAGAGCCCATATGGCCGACTCCAGAAACCCTGACTCTGAAAACACTGACGGCCCATTCTTGCTTCCGCGGCCTTCCGCCGACCTGCCCCTGGCTTCCGCTGACGGAACCGCAGCCACTTGACTTCCGCTGGCCTCCACCGGCCCTCCGCCACCTCCCGCCGAGGAAGAGGACTCAGCAAGTCGAACCCTCGAAGTCTCCCGGGATGCGCTCTGACCAGGGGTCCGAGGCGAACCCAGCCGTGGCCACAAGGGACGGGCAGCAGCATTGGCACCCTTGTCCTCCTCTGATGTAGGTTACGGTGCTCCTCGATCTCTGGGCGGAGAGAACACTCAGAGGGGGGGGGGCACCAGCTGTGGGCGGCAGCGGGCTGCTCGTGGCGCAGGAACTGCCCGCGAGGGCCAGCAGCGGCGGCAGCTGCACAGGAGAAGCGCAGGCCGAGCCAGGCGAGGACACTCGAGAACACAACAGCGCCACGCCTACTAGAGGGGTTGGCCGCAGGTCAGCATACAGCCCACGATGGGGCGACGTGATCCATACCCGTCGGTCGGAAGAAGTGGGTAAAAGCATGAAGCAGGAAGGCGCTGGAAGTAGATTGGGCTTCCGCATGCTCCCTGAAGAGAAGCGAAGAGGGAAAACCACCCGACTCTGGAAGCAGGAAGGCGGACAAAAGTAGCTGGGGGCCTCGGAGTCCAAAAACACCAACCTTCAACGAGCGACGTGCACAGATCCCGGCGCCCTGCTTCGGGGAGCGAGGGGAGGCGGGGAGGCGGAGGAATGCGGGGACCGAGCGGGGGGAGGAGCTGGAGAGCACGAGGGGGCTCCCTGCCCGCGTGCGGGCATCCTCCCCCCCCCCCTCGAGGCGGATTACCAGCCTCGAACGTACCCCTATCCCTAAGATTGGCACGCCAAAAGGCGATGACAATCTTGAGGATTCGCCCTCAAAAAATAAGGGAATCCCTAAGATTGGCATCGTGATGAGGAGGTGCCCAGCAGAGGGATAGGGATCTGCTCCAGGCTGGCAAGCGGCCGCCGCAGCCCCTTTCCTGGGCGCGCGCTCCTCCCGGGAGACCTCGGGGTCCAGTGCGGCCCCGGGCGACGAGGGCCCCGACCGGGGCGCCGAGCCTCCAGAAGCACGGCCCGTCGAGGCCCCGGACACCTCCCCGAGAAGACGCCCGAGCACCAGCACTCGGGGACCCGCCAGGCCTCCCGACGACGAGGCGATCCGGAGTCCGACGAGGAGCGGCTGAGGCCGCGGCGACGCGCGGAGCGAGAGGAGACAGCGGGGGAGCCGCCAACAGACTCGAGCTCGCCGGCCTGCCTGCCGCTCTTTGACGTTCCCGGCGTGCACTCTGACGGTCCCGTTCTCGTGGGACCGTCAGAGCCCAGACCAGGCCCTGTCGCGGCACTGAAGATCATGTCGGGCAAGACTCGAGTCCCCCAAGCTGGAGCCTCGCTCGTGGGCGGGGAACACGTGCGTACCCACGGCCTCACGGGCCAGGCCCCCTGGCCGCGACCCCGTGGATACGTAGCGTTTCCTCGCGGATGCCCCGCGCGGGCGGTGCGTGTACATGCGACCGCAGATCCACGGGATCGCGCCCCTGAGCCCAGACCGCGCGGGCGTGTATATGGACGCGCTCGCCGCTCGCGACTCACGCCTCCCCGAAACAGGACGAGCAGCGCGAGGCAGACCACCAGTGAGAAAAAGGCCCCCTGTCCGGCGCTGCACGGCAGCAGGGCGAGCAAGCGGCCTGGGAGGCGTTCATGCGGGAACGACACCGCGCTGCACGGCATCCTTCCTCTCCGTCCTCCTCCATCCTCCTCCGTCCTCCGTCCTCCTCATCCTCCTCCTCTTCATCTTCCTCCTCCTCCTCCTCCTCCTCCTCCTCCTCCTCCTCCTCCTCCTCCTCCTCCTCCTCCTCCTCCTCCTCCTCCTCCTCCTCCTCCTCCCCTCCTCCTCCTCCTCCTCCGCCTCCTCCTCCTCCTCCTCCCTCCTCCTCCTCCTCCTCCTCCTCCTCCCTCCTCCTCCTCCTCCTCCCTCCTCCTATGCCTCCTCCTCCTCCTCCCTCCTCCTCCTCCTCCTCCTCCTCCTCCATCTCATCCATCATCCATCCTCTTCCTCCTCATCCATCTCCTCCTCCATCAGATTCCTCCTCCTGTTCCTCAATCATCCTCACTCCTCCTCGTCCTCCTCTTCCACACACACATACTACCAGACTTGTTCACCGCTTGGGACCTTGAAGCTTGAAGAGGGCCAGCACCTACAGGGATGCCAAAATCTGGCTCTCGCCGTAGCGCCGCGAAGAGTCACTTCAAAGTGGCCAATGGCTACCAGAATGGAGGGCGAATTACTTACGCCATGTGTCCCTCTAGCTCCACGCACGCTTGTCTTCAAAATTGCCAGCGGTTACAAGGATGAATGGAGGGTCGTTATCAATGTGTGGTTATCGCTTAAAGGCTTATGACGGATACATGGGTTGAGGGCGGGTGGCTTTCAAAATGGGGTTATCAAGAGTGGGTGCGATGAAGCATCGCTGACGCATCCGAAGCGTAAGTAATACCTGTCCTCCTCCTCCTCCTCCTCCTCCTCCTCCTCCTCATCATCATCATCATCATCATCATCATCATCATCATCATCATCATCATCCTCATCCTCATCCTCATCCTCATCCTCATCCTCATCCTCATCCTCATCCTCATCCTCATCATCATCATCATCATCATCATCATCATCATCATCATCATCATCATCATCATCATCATCATCATCATCATCATCATAATCATGCCCATCATCACCACCATCAGCAGCATCATCATCAGCAGTAGCATCAGCAGCAGGCTTCCCTCCTGCTCACTCTCCTAACCTCCGCCACTACCTTTTACGTTGCATGGAAATTGATCTGGCGATCGCAGCACCTACACTACCGCCACCACAACATCCTCATCCTCCTCATCATCATCCTCGTGTCCCCCTGCCCCTTGGCTCCCCTCCTCCTTCCCCTCATCCTGGTGCCAGTCCGCATCCCGCCTCTCTCCTCCCGCTCGTCCTCCTCCTCCTCATCCTCCTCATCCTCCT